ATAAGGGTTTAGACCTCACAGCTATATGCATTTGTCAAAACTCCTGTCACAATAAGCTTAATATTTGTGCATTTCACTACGTGTAAAATTTTCATCAAAAAGGTAAGCATAAACTCTAGTTAATGCAATGTACGTTGAAGTATTTAGATGTGAAATATACTGTGGTCTGCAACTTTGAAATTCATAACACAAGAGTCATTGATGAAAGGGAGGATGGTTAGATGGTTAGAAGTGATAAAACAAATACAGCAAAATACTAATTGTAGAATCTTGGTGGTAGGTATATGAATGTTCACCATAGAAGTCTTTTAATCTTTCTGTATATGTTAGATTATTTTTGGAATAAAATGTTGGGGGTACCCGGGGCTGAGAGGAGGGAGGAATGTAGAGTTATTATCTAATGGGTACATAGTTTCTGTATGGGAATAATGAAATTTTTCTGGAAATAGTGGTGATGGTTATACAACATGTGAATGTACTTAATGGCAATGAATTGTACAGTTAAAAATCATCAAAATGGTGAATTTTATGTTATGTATATTTTATAATTAAAAAATGCTTGAATGCCAAAAGAAAAAAATAATGTTGGGGGAAAATCCACGTAGAAGTCTCCATGCTTTCTCTAGAACCGGTCTGGGTTACTTACTACAGAGAGAAAGGAGAAGAGAGCAGGCTGCGTGAGTGTGCTAGGTCCACACTGAGCAGAGGGTCGTGGGAAGAAAGAGCACAGGCTTTGCAAATAGACAGATGTGGGTTCATAATCCCAGCTTTCACTTTCTAGCTGTATGACTGTATTTGTTTCTTATTGCAATAGCTGCTGTAACGAATTACCACAAATTTTGTGTCTCAAAACAACACAAATGTATTATCTTGCAGTTCTGGAGGCCTGAAATGTGTCTCACTGGACTAATATCAAGAGCTGTGTTCCTTATGGAGAATCTGGGGGAGGGGGAGCCCACCTCCTTACTTTTCTAGCTCCTAGAAACTGCCTGTATTCTATGGCTTGCTCATGGCCCTTTCCTCCTTTTTCAAAAGCCAGCAGTAACATCTTCAAATCAATCTTTCTCTGTGACACACACACACACACACACACGCCCCTCTGCTTCTTCATCATAACTTCTTTGATTCTCTAGCCTCCTTTTTAAGAGTCCACCCAGATAACCCAGAATAATCTCCCCCACTGCAGATCCTTAACTTTTCACATCTGCAAAGTCCCTTTTTGTCATGTAAGATACCATTTTCACAAAAGGAACTTGGGGTTAGGATGCACACATCTTGAGAGGGAGCCATTATTTTGCCTACCACAGTGACATTAAAATTTTGTCCTGTGCCACTAGCACTCACAAGTCAAGACGACACTGAAGAGGAAAAATATTTCTCAGGATTTTTTTCTAACAGTTTTATTGAGATATAATTCACATACCATACAATTTACTCATTTAAAACAAATAATTTGATGATTTTTAGTATAGTCACAAAGTTGTACAATCATTACATTTTCAAGTTTCTCCATTTTTAAATATGAGGAAACAAAGGCTTGAGACATTAATGAAACTTGCTTAGAATAACATCTAACTGGCAGGACTGGGCAATGCAGTGGCTATCAAGAGCTGAGATTCCAGTCCAGGCCTGGACTCCCTTCACTAAGTCAGACGGGTCACTTGAGAGCAGTGTGGTGTAGTAGTTAAACAAGC